CCGCTAATGACTTTCCTGCCCAGGTAACTCAATAACTGATAACTGTGTATGTATGTTTATGTATGTATGTATATATGTATGAAGGTGTGAAATCCTTTGTTCATTACTCCCCACACCACCCATCTAACCCTCCCTCCCCCCCATCTTAGTAACGAAACGATAGTAAACGAAAACAAAAAGAGAGTCACCATGGGTTTGTTTACTACGGTTGTTGATGTACGATAACATCACTTATTCCCCCCACCACTCCAGTGCCTCACCAGATAAAACAATTCATTATTTTATATTTATTTCTCTATATTACATAAAGAAAAATATATGATAATATCTTTATCTTTGTATTAATTATATTTTTGTTAATTAATATTTTTTTGTAATAACAGTGGGTTATATAGGTAATTATGACGTATTATATTGCATCCCGGGTATAAAAACGTTGCCAGTTGTCGCTATTTAATGTATTTTTCCTATTTATCGACGTCAATAATTATCAAGATTATTATAAATTAGTTGATGATTATGTTGATAATGAAGAGACGACCTGCAGCTAAGACGGCGTGACTAGCAACAATGACGCAGCAAAATTTTCGTGTCCGGGTTCTGGAAAGATTGACGCTCCTCCTCCTCTTCCTCCTTCTCCTCTTCCTTCCTCTCCTCCTCCTCCTCCTCTTCCTTCCTCTCCCTACCCCTTTCCTCCTTCTCCTCTTCCTTCTCCTCTCCCTACCCTCCTCATCCTCTTCCTACCCCTTCCTGCTTCTCCTCTTCCTTCCTCTCACTTAACCTTTCTCCCTCTCCTCTTTCCTTCCTCTCCCTACCCTCCTCCTCCTCTCCCCTACCCCTTCCTCCTCCTCCTCCTCCCCCTCCCCCCTCCCTCCTCTCCTTCCTCTCCCTACCCTCCTCCTCCTCTCCCCACCCCTTCCTCCTCCTCCTTCTCCTTCCTCTCCTCTCCTCCTCCTCCTTCTCCCTACCTCCCCCTCCTCCTCCTCCTCCTCTTCCTTCCTCTCCCTACTCCTCCTCCTCTCCTCCCTCCCCTTCCTCCTTCTCCTCTTCCTTCCTCTCCCCTACCCTCCTCCTCCTCTTCCTTCCTCTCCCTACCCCTCCTCCTCCTCTCCCTACCCCTTCCTCCTTCTCCTCTTCCTTCCTCTCCCCCTACCCTCCTCCTCCTCTCCCCTACCCCTTCCTCCTTCTCCTCTTCCTTCCTCTCTCCCTACTCCTCCTCCTCTTTTCCTCTCCCTACCCTCCTCCTCCTCCTCCTCTTCCTTCCTTCCTTACCCTCCTCCTCCTCTCCCTACCCCTTCCTCCTCCTCTTCCTTCCTCTCCTCCCCTCCTCCTCCTCTCCCTCTCCCCTTCCTCCTTCTCCTCTCCTTCCTCTCCCTACCCTCCTCCTCCCTCTCCCTACCCCTTCCTCCTTGTCCTCTTCCTTCCTCTCCCTACCCTCCTCCTCCTCCTCTTCCTTCCTCTCTCCCTACCCTCCTCCTCCTCTCCCCTACCCCTTCCTCCTTCTCCTTTCCCTTCCTCTCTCTCCCTACCCTCCTCCTCCTCTCCCTACCCCTTCCTCCTTTTCTCTTCTCCTTCCTCTCCTACCCCTCCTCCTCTCCTCTTTCCTTCCTCTCCCTACCCTCCTCCTCCTCTCCCTACCTTCCTCCTTCTCTCCTCTTCCTTCCTCTCCCTACCCTCCTCCTCCTCCTTCTCCTTCTCTCCCTCTCCCTCCTCCTCCTCCTCTCCTCCCTACTCCCCCTCTCCTTCTCCTCTTCCTTCCTCTCCCTACCCTCCTCCTCCTCCTCTCCCTACCCCTTCCTCCTCCTCCTCTTCCTTCCTCTCCCCTACCCTCCTCCTCCTCTTCCTTCCTCTCCCTACCCTCCTCCTCCTCCCTACCCTTCCTCCTTCTCCTTCTTCCTTCCTCTCCTACCCTCCCCTCCTCCTCTCCCTACCCCCTTCCTCCTCCCTCTTCTCCTTCCTCTCCCTACCCTCCTCCTCCTCCTCCTCCTACCCCTTCTTCCTCCTTCTCTCTTCTTCCTCTCCCTACCCTCCTCCTCCTCCTCTTCCCTTCCTCTCCTACCCTCCTCCTCCTCTCCCTACCCCTTCCTCCTCCTCCTCTTCCTTCCTCTCCCTACCCCTCCTCCTCCTCTTTCCTTCCTCTCCCTACCCTCCTCCTCCTCTCCCTACCCCCTTCCTCCCTCTTTCTCCTCTCCTTCCTCCCTACCCTCCTCCCTCCTCTCACTACCCTTCCTCCTTCTCCTCTTCCTTCCTCTCCCTACCCTCCTCCTCCTCTCCCTACCCCCTTCCTCCTCCTCCTCTTTCCTTTCCTCTCCCTCCCCCTTCCTCCTCCTCCTCTCCTTCTTCTCCCTACCCCTTCCTCCTCCTCCTCTTCCTTCCTCTCCCTACCCCTTCCTCCTCCTCCTCCTCTTCCTTCTTCTCCCTACCCCTCCTCTTCCTCGTCCTTCCTCCTCCCTACCCTCCTCCTCCTCTCCCTACCCTCTTCCTCCTCCTCCTCTTCCTTCCTCTTCTCCCTACCCTCCTCCTCCTCTCTCCTCCCTACCCCTTCCTCCTTCTCCTCTTCCTTCCTCTCCCTACCCTCCTCCTCCTCTCACTCCCTTCCTCCTTCTCCTCTCTTCCTCTTCTTCCTCTCCCTACCCTCCTCCTCCTCTCCCCTACCCCTTCCTCCTCCTCCTTTCCTTCCTCTCTCCTACTCCTCCTCCTCCTCTCCCTCCCCCTTCTCCTCCTCCTCTTTCTTTCCTTCCTCTCCCTACCCCTTCTTCCTCCTCCTCCTCTTCTCCTTCTTTCCTCCCTACCCCTTCCTCCTCCTCCTCTTCCTTCCCTCCTCCTCTCTACCCCTTCCTCCTCCTCCTCTTCTTCCTTCTTCTCCCTACCCTCCTCTTCCTCGTCCTTCCTCTCCCTACCCTCCTCCTCCTCTCCCCTACCTCCTTCCTCCTCCTCCTTCTTCCTTCCTCTCCCTACCCCTCCTCCTCCTCTTCCTTCCTCTCCCTACCCCTCCTCCTCCTTCTCCAACCCTTCCTCCTCCTCCTTCTTTCCTTTCCTTCTCTCCCTACCCTCCTCCTCTCCCTACCCTTTCCTCCTCCTCCTCCTCTTCCTTTCCTCTCCCTACCCTCCTCCTCCTCTCCCTCCCTACCCCTTCCTCCTCCTCCTTCCTTCCTCTCCTCTCCTCCTCCCTTCCTCCTTCTTCCTTCCTCTCCCTACCCTCCTCCTCCTCTCTCCCTACCCCTTCCCTCCTCCTCCTCTTCCCTTCCTCTCCCTACCCTCCTCCTCCTCTCTATTCCTCTCCCTACTCCTCCTCCTCCTCTCCCCTCCCTTCCTCCTCCTCCTCTTCCTTCCTCTCCCTCTCCCTCCTCCTCCTTCTTCCTTCTATTCCTCTCCCACCCTCCTCCTCCTCTCCCTCTCCCCTTCCTCCTCCTCCTCTTCTTCCTTCCTCCTCTCCCTACCCTCCTCCTCCTCTCTTCCTCTTTCCTCTCCCTACCCCTCCTCCTCCTCTCCCTTACCCTTCCTCCTCCTCCTCTTCCTCTCCTCCTCTCCCTCCACCCCTCCTCCTCCTCTTCTCTCCTTCCTCTCCCTCCCCTCCTCCTCCCCTCTCCCCACCCTTCCTCCTCCTCCTCTTCCCTTCCTCTCCCCATCTCCTCCTCCCTCTCCTACCCCTTCCTCCTCCTCCTTCCTTCCTCCCTACCCTCCTCCTCCTCCTCTTTCCTTCCTCTCCCCTACCCTCCTCCTCCTCCCCCCTCACCTCTTCCTCCTCCCTCCTCCTCTTTCCTTCCTCTCTCCCCTACCCCTCCTCCTCCTCTCCCTACCCCTTCCTCCTCCTCCTCCTCTTCTTCCTTCCTCTCCCTACCCTCCTCCTCCTCTCCCTACCCCTCCTCTTTTCTTCGTCCTTCCTCTCCTACCCTCCTCCTCCTCTTCCTTCCTCTCCCTACCCTCCTCCTCCTCTCCCTTTCCTCCTCCTTCTCCTCTTCCCTTCCTCTCCCTACCCTCCTCCTCCTCTCCCTACCCCTTCCTCCTCCTCCTCCTCTTTCCTTCCTCTCCCTACCCCTTTCTCCTCCTCCTCTTCCTTCCTCTCCCTACCCTCCTCTTCCTCCCTACCCCTCCTCCTCCTCTCCCCTACCCCTTCCTCCCTCCTCCCTCCTCTCCCTACCCTACCCCTCCTCCTCTTCCTCCCTACCCTCCGCCTCCTCTCCCTACTCCTACCCTCCTCCTCTTCCTCTCCCACCCCCTCCTCTCTCCCTACCCCTACCCTCCTCCTCTTCCTCTCCCTCCCTACCCTCCTCCTCATCTTCTCCTACCTCCCTCCTCCTCTCCCTACCTCACCCTCCTCCTCTTCCTCTCCCTACCCTCCTCCTCTCCCTCTCTCCTCCCTCTCTTTCCTCTCCCCTGCCCTACCCTCCTCCTCTCCCTACCCTCCTCCTCTCCCTACCCTCCTCCTCTCTCTCTCCCTACCCTCCTCCTCTCCTCCTCCTCCCATCTTCCCTACCCCTCCTCCTCCTCCTCCATTGTTTTCCGAAGACCTGTAAGCTACCGAGAACTCACTCCTAGCCTGAGACACACCCAGTATATATATTACACGCACTCCTCCCTTACATACACACTCCTAACCTAACCTAATTTAACCTAACCTAACCTGGATTAACTTTGAGGATTAATGAATGGCGTTAATTCTAGAGTGAGAGATTAAAAGGTTATTAAATGAATTATATTATGGTACTGTCTCAGCTCCTCTTTGCTTACTTACATGTTTATACCTGTTTATCAATATAATTTAACATAAACAAGAGTATTAATTCATATAGGTATCTTAAGTAATCGTAAAGTGGCGAACAAAAATAAATAAAATCTTACGTAATTTAATAAAAGAACGTATTTGGGCTGGTGTTTATATTGTGACGTCATCGAGGCACAGGTCGGCTGTTTGACGTCATCGTGAGGAAAATCCACAGGTTGATGGTGGTGGTGGTGGTGGAAGAGAGTGAGTTGCCTTAGTTCCCGAGATCCCACACCACAAGCCTCAGTATACGTGCGGTTGTGAGAGGGATAACATGTCACTTTAAACACTACAACTTGAGGGGCGTTTAAACTCCATTTCCTCTCAATATCAAATCATTGTTGATGTTTGTGTAGTGATAACTTGAACCCGTCATGTGATAGTGTTGTGATTATTTTTTCTGTGATTTTGGGGAAATTTATTTGGAGTTCTGGTGAAATTTGGACCAAGTAAGTTTATTCTTTTTTGTTTTGTGAAAATTTGAAGAAAAATAAGTTACGTAAAATTTTAACACAAATAAGTTAACTAATATAATTTGTTTTTAATAATCTTGAAATTAACACGAGTGACCAATGTTAAATTTGGAGCAAGTTTATGGTTTTAAAATTTCAAAAAAGTAAAATGTAATAATGATGACAAGTTTATTTTGATATTAATTAATGATTTTTGAAAATTTTGGAATGGTAAATTTATATATAATATTTTTGGTATATTGTAAAATAAAAAATAAATCGGAAGGGTCTATCATTATTATTACCTTGGCTATAATATATATTTTTACGTAATTTACAAATATTTAATGAGAAAAAGTTTGAAAACCAAAATACCGATAAAAGTTTTGAAATTACGAATGGATATATTATTACATTTATATTTTATTATATATTATGAAAGTATTAATAACTTCAATTTGTAATTATACAAAAACATAAGACCGTCCCATTTTTCCTCCTGAAATGCGAAAACCAAGGAAACGGAATAAACACGATAGATAAATATATAAGAACATAATAATGGAGGAAACTGCAGCTGGTCTATTGGTCCATACTGGGCAGTCCCGTTTACACCCAAACCCTATTGCTCATATAAGCATCCAACCTGTGTTTGAAGCTATCCATCGTATGGGTTAATGATGATGTTTGGTAACTTGTTCCATTCATCCACTACTCTATTTCCAAACCAGTGTTGACCTATTTCACGCCTAAATCTAAATTTGTCTAATTTAAAACCATTGTTATGAGTTCGCTCCTGGTTGGATAGTTTGAGTACCTTTGTTAATGTCCCTTTGTTTAGCTGACTTCCACTTATACACCTCTATCATATCGCCCTCTACCGTCTCTCTCAAGGGAGTTGCAAATTAAGATGCTTTAACCTGTCTCTGTACTCAAGGTTCCTATTCCTGGGATTAGTCTTGTCATTCTCCTCAGGATTCTTTCCAAGGATTCTATATCCATTCTGTGCAGTGACCAGAACTGAACTGTGTAATCCAAGTTAAGTCTAAAAAGCGCAGGATATAGTTTTAGGATGACCTCGTTAGTCTTGTAACTAACACTCCTTTGTATGAACCCAAGTACTTTATTAGCCTTGTTACGAGCAGATAGATAGATAGATAGACAGACAGATATAAATAGATAGAGTGTATTAAAAGCTTATTGCAATGTATTTTAAAAGCTTATTGCATTATATTCATAAATTTATCCTTGAAACACATGTTATATTATTGTTGCAGTGATTAGAAGCTTTTGAGAGTCTGTTCCTGTACATATGAGTTTACTGTTGCAAAATTACCAGAAGAGCAGCCCCCCGAAAGTAATTTTGTAGATATCTTCTTGTTTTTAGTGTTTAGGAAAGGATATCTGATAGTTTTCGGTATTAAGGACATGTTATCTTGTTGTTTTCGGTATTAAGGAGTATCCTGTTGTTTTCGGTGTTCAAGAAACTATATCTAGTAGTTTTCGGTATTAAGGAAATGATATCTTGTTTTCGATATTAAGGTAACAATTTCTAGTATTTTTCGGTATTAAGGACACGATATCTAGTAATTATCGACATTAGTATTTTCGGTGTTCAGGACATAATATAACAAACATAACATTAATTACTCTCAACATGACAGTTATTATTATTAGGGTTGTTGTTGTTATTATTATTTTATTGTTATTATTATTATTATTATTTTTATTATTAAGTCATACAAATATATATATTCTAAAAAGAATAACTACCTCTTTTATTGCTGTCATGAGTATTTTTTTTGTGTGTGTGTGAAGATTAAAATTCCTTCGTCTTTTCTCATTGTAAGACTGACTCGATGGTACCCTAACATAACCTAACCAGAACCTAACGTAACCAAACCTAACACAACTTAATCGTAACCTACTGTAACCAAATCTAAGGTAACCTAACCCAACGTAATCTAACCAAAACCTGACCAAACCCTGCAAATTAAGGCCTTTAATTAACAGGTTAAATTGTACATGACAGAATTTCTACACAACTCTATTCAGTTTTTCAAATTTTGTATAATTTCCATCTCTGTATTTCCGTGTTGTAGTGTAATTTATACCTAACCTAACCTAACTAGCAAACCTAACCTAACCAAAACCTAACCTAACAAAACCTGCAAAACCTAACCTGTAAACCTAACCTAGCAAAACTAACCTAACCTAAACCTAATTTAACCAAAACCTAACCTAACCCAACAAACAAACTCTCTGGGGATTATCTGTAATATTTCAACATTTATTTTGTATTATTTTTGGTATTTGTGTTTATTTAATATAATTTATTTATATTGTGTGTGGAAGAGTTGGTATAGTGGTATGGTGTGGTGTGGGTGTGGTGGGGTATGGTAAGATGTGGTATGGTGTGGTGTAGTGTGTGGTGGGATGTGGTGTAGATGTGGTGGTGTGGTGTGGGTGTGGTGGGGTGTAGTGTAGATGTGGTATGGTGTGGTGGGGTGTAGGTTTGGTGTGGGTGTGGTAAGATGTGGTATGGTGTGGTGTGTAGGTGTGGTGGGGTGTGGTGTAGATGTGGTATGGTGTGGTGTGTAGGTGTGGTGGGGTGTAGTGTGGATGTGGTAGTGTGGTGTGGGTGTTGGGTTTGGTGTGGGTGTGGTAAGATGTGGTATGGTGTGGTGTAGGTGTGGTGGGTGTAGTGTAGATGTGGTATGGTGTGGTGTAGGTGTGGTGTGGTGTAGATGTGGTATGGTGTGGTGTAGGTGTGGTGGGGTGTGGTGGAATGTGTGTGGTGTGGTGTAGGTGTGGTGGGTGTGGTGTAGATGTGGTATGATGTGGTGTAGGTGTGGTGGGGTGTGGTAAGATGTGGTATGGTGTGGTGTAGGTGTGGTATGGTGTGGTGTAGTGTGGTGGGGTATAGGTGTGGTAGATGTGTGTGGTGTGGTGTGTAGGGTGTGTGTGGGTGTGGTGGTATGGTGTGGTGTGGGTGTGGTAAGATGTGGTGGTGTGGTGTGGGTGTGTGGGGGGATGGGTGTGGTGTGGGTGTGGTGGGGTATAGTGTGGTGTGTGGGTGGGAGAAGATGTGGTATGTGGTGTGTGGTGTGTGGGTGTGTGGTGGGTGTGGGGTATAGGTGTGGTGTGGGTGTGGTAAGATGTGTGTGTGGTGTGGTGTAGGTGTGGTATGGTGTGGTGTAGGTGTGGTGGGGTATAGGTGTGGTGGGGTGTGGGAAGATGTGGTATGGTGTGGTACAGTATGATTAGGTTAGGTAAGCACCTTTCCCAAGCACCATTAACCCCTCCACCCTCCCCAAGCACCTCCTCCCCACCCTTCCCAAGCACCATTAACCCCTCCCCAAGCACCATTAACCCCTCCCACCTTTCCCAAGCACCATTAACCCCTCCACCTTCCCCAAGCACCATTAACCCTCCCCACCTTTCCCCAAGCACCATTAACCCCTCCACCCTTCCCCAAGCACTAACCCCTCCCCACCCTTCACCAAGCATGATAACCCCCTCCCACCTTCCCCAAGCACCATTAACCCCTCCCACCTTTCCCCAAGCACCATTAACCCCTCCCACCCTTCCCCAAGCACCATTAACCCCTCCCCACCCCTTCTGCACCATTAACCCCTCCCACCCTTCCCCAAGCACCATTAACCCCTCCCCACCTTCCCCAAGCACCATTAACCCCCCACCAAGCACCATTAACCCCACCCACCGAGGCATGAAGGCTGTTGGGTCCATATTATAATTTGGGTATTACGTGATTTTCTAATTTGTGTTAACAGTGTAAATTTATAATGCCAAGTCACTACCCAGTCAGTATACAGTTAACAGTACTGAAACACTACAGTCAGTTTATATAGGCAACAGTTAGTCCCAGTTACTATACAGTTAACAGTACTGAAACACTACAGTCAGTTTATATAGGCAACAGTTAGTCCCAGTTACTATACAGTTAACAGTACTGAAACACTACAGTCAGTTTATTCAGTAAATGTATAGACTCGAGTTAAATACACAATATTAACCCCAGCAGTTTATATATATATAATCATCAATATAAATCTAATTAAATATTTGATAGCTAAGAGATGAACGAAATTTACAATAATTATTTAAAATTATTTAATGAAAACCAATTTAATATTAAACTTTTATTATATTTTATTTATATATATATTATCATTATTATTAGTTGTTATCTTTTGTTTTTTGTTATTATTATTGCCATTTTTGTTTACGTCTCATGCGCATCTCATACATCAACTATCAACAGACTTTTAAAAAAATATCATCCCTTTAATAATTTGTTTTCCTCTTTTTCAGTCAATTTTCGGGAGAGAAGATGGATGTGGAGAAGAATCAATATAATTTAAAATGGAACAGCCACACTTTGACATTTGTGAACCTTCTTGATCATTTTAGAATCAAGGTAAGCAGATGGGAGTATTGGGGGAAATAATATTGGAACGATTGTGTTTTGTTTTCTCTTAAGGGATCGTGAATGTAATTGTGTCTTTTATGAGTAAATTATCTATGGTACTTTGATTTAAAATACATATATATATACAGACATACTTATATACACACACATTTGCATATTTACACACCAATACACATAAATACTCACACATTCCCAGACAACCAAGAAAGAAAAAACTTCACTGATATCGTATATTTAATCACCTTTTCCTTCCCAGCCCTCAACCATTGATAAACAAAATCACTACTATCACCACCACCTTACCTTATGAACAACTTATGATCGCCCTATGAACCCTTATGAACACTTGTAAACACTTATGAACATTTACAGTATAAACACTTAAGAACACCCTATGAACACTTGTGAACATTTATGAACAAATGTGAACACCTTATGAACAACTATGAACACTTGTGAACAATTATGAGCACTTTATGAATACCATATGGACAATTGTGAACACTTGAAAACACTTATGAACACCCTATGAACACTTATCAACACTTTTGAACATTTTCCTACGTCTTATGAACAATTTCCATCACGTTATGAACAATTTTGAACTACAGGCATAGAAATTTTTTAATTAATTTACCCTGATTCAGTTCACCAGTGGTAGGAAAACATTGATCACCTTTCCAGTAAACATTTTTTGTGTTGGTATAATTCTTGGCAAATATAATTCAATTCTGAGTTATGATAGAAGGAACATATCCTAATTATATCACTGTCGTATAAAGGGTAACCATTATTATCACTGCAGAGGCTTGTTATGTAGACTAATGTCATTTTGGGTTTAATTGCCTTGTTTGGTTGTTTGATTTTATTGGTTATTCAGTCATTTTTTAATAATATATACAGTTCAGTACACACATATACATACAGTATTTATTTTTTGACTGTACAAAACACACACGATACAATCTCTCACACACACACAAGCTGTCACAATCACACACACACACACACTTCTACAAACACCACATGCACACACCTCCACAATACACAAACACACTACACCACACACACACACACAAAACTCACCCACACCCACACAAAACTCACCCACACCCACACCCACCCCTTAATAGTTCCCCCGATCACTAATTCCTCTACGTCTTACAGGAACTCTACTGCGACGCGACCATAGCCTGCGATGGGAAGGTCTACCCTGTACATAAAGTGGTCCTCTCCGCTTGCAGTAACTTCTTTGCGTCTATTTTCGCCAGCCCTAACTGTCAGAATCCCATCGTGGTGCTACAGGACGTTGGCACGGCTCAGTTGGAGTCTCTCTTGATGTACATGTACCGCGGGGAAGTGCGAGTACGTCAGTCCGAGTTACCTACGTTCTTCAAGGTCGCCAAGTCGTTGCAGGTTAAGGGTCTGGCCATACCAGACCAGGAGAGATATGCATCTCGGGAATTAAACAACTCTTGGCACGATAACGTCTGCAACGCTCGAGATGGGACTAGGGTTTACGACAAGACCCCAGAATCCTCCGTCCCCCAGAGCTATCATTCCCAGTATATGCCGGACGTGAGGAACCCACACGTGCACTACCACGACGTGCCGCCCGGGAATATGCTGCCGCACGAACACGAATTTGCCAGACCGTGCGTCATGGAGCATCCCAAGAACCAACAGCAACATGGCGACCCGGCGCTGAAGAGGAGGAATCACGTGCTGGAGCCCCCGCAAGCCATAAGACACGATGGCTTATATCCCATTAGACCAGAAGACATGGCAAGACCTCACAAGATGCCCAGACCTAGTGATATGGCAAGACCTAATGACTTGATGAGGTTGAAGGAGTTCCCAAGGCCTACAAGGATGAGGCCGAGAGATATGGCAAGGCTTGGCGATATGACGAGACCTAGTGCATTCTCAAGACCTAGCGAGCTGTCAAGACACAGTGAGTACGCAAGACCGAGCGAGCTTGCAAGACACGGTGAGTACGCAAGACCGAGCAAGCTGGCAAGACACGGTGAGTACGCAAGACCGAGCGAGCTGGCAAGACACGGTGAGTATGCAAGACCGAGCGAGCTGGCAAGACCGAGCGAGCTGGCAAGACCGAGCGATATGGCAAGAGTTACTAATATGGTACAACCCACCGAGTTCCTCAGACCTGAAGAGAGAGCAAGGCAAGAGGAGAGGGCAAGGCAAGAGGAGAGGGCACAACATGAAGAGAGGGCAAGGCAAGAGGAAAGAGCACAATTCGAAGAAAGAGCAAGGCAAGAGGAAAGAGTCCGCAATGAGGAGAGACCAAACCCCAAAGAGAACGACGTGGCCAAACTACGGGACGAAACGACGAGGTACAACGACATGGACAACGTGCAGCAGTTATGGCAGCAACGCGACGACGAAGACCAACCCTCACTCCCGACGACGGTTAACCCCGCCCCCACACCGGAGGACAAATACACCCTAGGGCAGTCTAGCAGCAGTAGTAGCAACCGCGTCTCGACCAATGACGTACCGGCAGCGGAAGAGAAGTCGACACACACCCCTAGCTATTTGGTGTCCTCAAGTCAGGGAACCTTTCAAAACTTGGTGAGTGAAGTGATGTTACTTTTTTTAAGGTAATTTTGGCTAATGATAGATGACATACATATGTACACTACACCACACACATCTACACTAGACCCCACACCATTATTCTTTAGGCAATTTGACCAATGTTGCTTTAACCTTGCTGCTTAGATGAGAAGGGAAGAGTTTTCAAGTGATAGACCTTAGCTTACATTAATTACAAGTGGGTCATACAACCTTCTCTGATCATAAGTATAAGTTAATGGACTCGACACACCAATTGCTCCTCTGAGATTGACTGAATGATTGAAACTATCTCGTTGCAATGTCAGTATGAAGTATGATCCACATATCCCAACATTTTGTCTCACCTGCAGTGCCCTACTCCCTCCACCTCCTTCATTCAGTAGACTAAATCACCCCTACACCCCCCCCCCCTCGCCCATTAGCCAGTCTAGGTACACCATAATAAACCTACTACGTGCCGAGGGTAATTCACGTCCAATAACACTCGTCTCTTTCTCCGCCCCACAGGTCACCTCAGAGGAAGAGGAGGAGGAGGAAATCAGCACGATCAAATACGAGCCGCTAGATTCTCCCGAGCCCTACGACCAGAACTCCCTCTTCATCTCGGAGGAAGCGGAGGACCCCCACAACAACAACAACAACGACGACGGTAAATTTACCCTCAAGACGTCCGACGACAACGGGTATCATTCGGAGTCGTCGCAGTCTAACAGGGCGTCGACCGAACACCCGCAGCTCGAGACGGTAATTACGACCTATTGTTGTGGTTCCTGTTGGATAAAATATTTTGGGGGTTGAATTGATTTGTTTTTCTGTCTTTGTTTGTCTACCTAAACTGTCTAGGTACACTGTTTGTATACCTGCACTGTTTATATACTGAACCTGCATTGTTTATGTATATATACAGTATACACACTGAACTATATACATACATTGTTTATATACATGCTGAACTGAACACCAACATTGTCTATATACACACTGGACGATATACATACATTGTTTATATACATGCTGAACTATACACCTACATAGTCTATATACACACTGGACGATATACATACATTGTTTATATACATGCTGAACTATATACAAACTGAACTATATACATTATCTATATACTCACTAAAACAATATAAACTTCAATCACAATTCAAAGTTAATATCTATCTAGCTACACTACTTAAAAACACAGTCGTCAACACAATATTTACCACAAGACTATTATTGTCGTCGATTAGTGAATAATGTTTCCCACGGTGAGTCGTGTTCTCTCCAGCCACACGACCTCAGTTTAGGGGCGTCGGAAGCACTCGACTTGAGGCAGAAACTGAAATTGAAGGAAAAAAGTTACATTAGAATTTGATAGCTGGGATTTATGATATTATTTTATGTAGGATTTCATAGTATTTTTGGCTGGGAGTTCATAGCATTTTTTGAGGGGGATTTATTAACATTTTTGAGAGGGATTTATTGAATTTTTGAGAGGGATTTATTGACATTTTTGAGAGGGATTTATTGAAATTTTTAAAGAGGGATTTGAGAGCATTTTTGTGGGGGATTTATTGACATTTTTGAAGCGGATTTATTAAAACTTTTGGGAAATATTTGTACCTGAATAGTAATGGAATTTTTGGCATAAAATGTATTGTGGTTAGGATAGGTTTTTGGGTGAGGGATACAAGTAAATTTTTATTGATATTTTCCTTCTCTCTCACTCACTCTCTCAAATTCCTTCTCTCTCTCTCTCTCTCTCAATTTCTTTCCTTCTCTCTCTCAAATTCCTTCCTTCTCTCTCTCTCTCTCTTTTGACAGGCTCCACACAAGCTAGTCAACATAAGACACTGTTTTGGAGTCGAATTAAACAACTTTCGATCGCGATGCCGTATTGTACGAGGCCAATCGACTAACGTTTTCCTTTCCCTCTCGACAGGAACCCCTTAAGCCGGGCAGCGCGGTCGCGGAGCCGAACGGAACAACACCGGAGTCGTCCACTACCTCACACCTCCGACGCGAGCTCCTGAGGCCGCTACAGCACAAACCCAAACCCCCACCGTCGCAGAACCCTCCCCAGGCTAGTCCGCAATCCATCCCTCATCCGGTGATATCCCCCAGAGAGCCGGAACGGATGAGGAGAGAACTGCCGCCCCTAATGAAGATCCCGTCGCAGTTGCCCACGATGGTATGTCGGAAAAGTCCCTAGGGTCGGGGATTATTGTGGGTCGTCTAGGGAAATGGTGTTATATTGGTACAGGTTGACTAGGGGAGATTTATATGGTGAGAGTGTAAAGTTCTTGTAGATATCTCTCTCTTCCCCCACACTCTCTCTCTCTCTAACTCACTCACTCTTTATCTCTCAAAATGTACAATAAATTACAACACCATTTTTATATCCTTGCAGATCAGTGACTCACCACCAAGGCCGCCCCAAGACGCCCAGATAGAAGAGCCACAAGAGTCAGGTAGTCACAGCAGTCACCTCCTCGTCAAAGCTCCGCCGACATACCGCTCGTACGCCGCGCCCACCAATCAGTTCACCATACAGATCCACAACCCACAGCTCGGCGGCCCCGTCATAGTCAATGGCAGATCGCCCATCCCGGACGCTCCCCCCGGCAACCAGGAGAACTCTCGGTTGATTTTACCGAAGCCCGATTCTCCGGTTAATCTCACGGGCGAGACGAAGGCGCCGGGCGAGGAGGACAAGGACGAACAGGATCCTTTTTTTGGGAAGATCCTGACGAGCCGGAAGAAGAGGCTACGCGGACCCAAGTCGTGGGAGTACCTGGTGCGTCTACTGAAGGATCCCACCACTAATCCGTTCCTCATCCGCTGGGAGAACGAGACCTCCGGGGTGTTCCGTCTGGTTCAGCCGTCCGTCATAGCCCAGAGGTGGGGACAGCGGACGGGCAGACACGCCGGGGAGACGCTCAGCTATGAGAACTTTGCTCGGGGACTACGCTACCACTACGCCACCGGGGCGCTCCAGCCGGTGTCTGAGAGAAGTTTCGTGTATCGGTTCGGCCCGAAAGCTCTTAAGGTACTGAAGGAATGTCACTCGTCTTCCTTCCCATATATATGAAATGAGGAAGGTGATGGTGGTGAAAATGATGATCAAATGTACAACAGATGATAATGGTGATGACGGTACTGATAATGGTCACATATACAACAGCATTTCTTCTGATACGTCACAAGATAGCGTCACCACCACCTAAGCAGCATTCGCCAAACAGGCAACAAAGATCTCTTCACCGTAGCTATCCACAATAACAAACTCATATACACAAACTATAACAATTAATATGTCTTAAACTATTGAAGCTATATATCTATTCCTATATTCCAGATGTAAACACAGACAAAAAAATATCTCTACGACTCGATGGATGATGATGGATTTTGAAGACTCTGGGGGCAACGAGTCGAGGCGTTCGTTATGAAATCCGCCGTTCGAGGTCGATACTTTTTTGGGTTCGTGTTTGCGTATTATTTTAACCGATATATATTTATTACATTACAGTGTATAGTACTGTAGTATATAGCAAATGAAAAGACATTGAGAACAAATGAATGAGAACCACAAGCGACTCCATTGTGCAAAAACCTCGCACCTTTTGCCTAGTACCACAGCTCAAGTCAGTCTTCCAGTAAACAAACCAACGCCAAAACAATGCCTAGTACGGTACCATACACTACACAAGCACAAATTACTGTACTGTACGCGTTAAGTGAAAGTATTGTATATTGGTAGAGTAGTACAGTACACTTCACCGGTGTACAACATTCAGAATATATTTTGGGTACAGTTGTCGGAGGCTGTTGGTTGACAGTTCTCGTGTGATATTTCTATGGAGTGAGATGAAATTATTTTTTGGGGGGGGGGAATATTTTTATAACGTTATGAAGTTTTCCCAGATATGAATTTTTTTTTTTGTAGAAACTTTATAGAATATTTTTGTAATGTTATGGAGACCTCCCAGATATGGAACTTTTGTAGAACATTATTCAAATTTATGATAACTCCCAGAGACATGAAAATCTTTGGGAATATTTTACAAACGTTACGAAAACAAATATAGAAGCTTCTGGGGATAATATTTTTTGACAATACGGTACAGTGCCTCCAGAAGTGAAAATAAACCATGGAATTCGGTGGTCAACGCTTGTGTGGGGGGGGGGACAGGGAGGCATTAAGGTGGGGCACTGATGAACACGAACGTCCATAGTGGCAGCATTACTGTACTTACCCTGATTGCTGTACAAGCCTCGAGATTTCTATTAACTGTTGTGTATATAAAGTTTGGTTGTGTGTTTAACCCGAGTTGTTTGGGGATGTTTATATGAGGCTACGAGTGATTGGCTCGTTAGCAATTAACCTGACCTTCTGTGAGCATGATTCTGTTATTAGTGGTTCAAATCCTCTTAACCCCCCCACCCTCTGCCCTCATGCTGTTAAGACTGCTTCAGACCAACCTCCTTAAACTGGCTCAGAACCCCTTACACTGACCCAGACCCCCATAAACTAGTCCAACCCCTTTAAACTGACCCCAGAACCCCCTTTACACTGGTGAAAGGTCACGCTCAGATACAGTCCTCTGGGGGAAATGTCTCGCACCGCCCCTAACATTGTCGCAGCCCTGGGGTGAAAAATAACCCTCCATACGAGTAATGTGAGACGTACCGTAAGAACACGGCGTACAGTACACATAACTGCGTGGATCTCTCAGTGAGCCATAAAAATATCTGTGATTTATAATTTACCTGTTAGACAATACAGATGTTGTTAATGTTATTGTTATGTATTGTCTAATGGCCGCCTACAGTATCCTAATGTTATGTTAAATCTAATAAAAAATATTAATGATTTTTTTTGTGATATATGTTTGCTTCTTGATTAAAAATGTAGTTTGTAGTATAAAGGGAAGAAATTATATGATGACTGGGTGTTATTTAACCTATATATACCAATTATACCATAGAGGTAACACATGTATATAACTGATAAAGGTTTTCCAAAATACCTGAGTTATACCAGCAGTGTTATTAGAACTATTATAGAAATTATACCAAAGGCCACACACACTGTGCCACGTTTCACAACCATTTCTGGAGCATTAACGCTATAAAATTTGTAGAGAAATCATTAAAATAATCTAATATACCTTACAAATAAAGATAATATAGCATAAAACTAGTGTGCCATATTCTACAGAAGGCATAACGGCATCTCTTCCACATGTAATGAATTGTGGGTAGAAATAGGGTGAATGAGCATAAAACAAGGGACCGGTGCGTAACCCATGAAGGAGGATATTGAGTAAGATGTGTGTTCAGGCGTTTATATTTCTGGGTGGGTTAATCTGCAGGTGATCACTATAAAGTCTTCTTAAGATTCAGGCGTTTATATTTCAGGGTGGGTTAATCTGCAGGTGATCACAATAAAGTCTTCTTAAGATTCAGGCGTTTATATTTCCAGGGCAGCTGAAGATACCTGAATCTATAACTAATTGATTTAATGTACCTTATGGAGAAATAACAACAGGTTCTAGGTTAAGTTAGGTCTAGTTAGATTAGGTTGTGGAATGACCTGTTAGAAGGAATTATTCATTGTAAAAACCCAAATCCACAATTATACACTAAATAAAAAACCAGACACATATGTATTACCTCACATGTATTACTGAGGAATTGAAATTTAATCCATAAAAGTATCAGGGTTCTTCAATGCCATGTACCCTACCCACACAATGGCTTCCACCGATCGCCATAACTACGCTACCCTCATGGTCGTCTTCTTCTGGCGATGGTCGAGGGGTGATTCTGAAAGGTGTGAGGAGGAATGAGATATAAGACTTAATATAGATTGTAATTATTGAGATATTTAGCTGTGGGTCTTGTTGTTTTGGGACCACATTGTGAAATCTTTGTTTAATGGAGTGTATGGAGAGGACAGTCCATTATATTGAGGTTTGTTAGTTGTAAAGCTCCATCTAACGAACTATATGGAGAGAGAAGTTCATTATATAGAGGTTTCAGTGTATACACAACATGACAGACATACACACATGATGGCTAATGTTAGAACAAATACACACATGGTTTCTACATTATTGACCACAGAATGTTAGGTATTGACCACAGAATGATGGGTATTGACCACAGAATGTTGGGTATTGACCACAGAATGTTGGGTATTGACCACAGAATGTTGGGTATTGACCACAGAATGTTGGGTATTGACCACAGAATGTTGGGTATTGACCACAGAATGTTGTATGTATTGGGACCACAGAATGATAGGTATTGACCACAGAATGTTGGGTATTGACCACAGAATGTTGGGTATTGACCACAGAATGTTGGGTATTGAACCTACAGAATGTTGGGTATTGACCACAGAATGTTGGGTATTGACCACAGAATGTTGTATGTATTGACCACAGAATGTTAGGTATTGACCACAGAATGTTGTATGTATTGACCACAGAATGTTAGGTATTGACCACAGAATGTTGTATGTATTGACCACAGAATGTTAGGTATTGACCACAGAATGTTGTATGTATTGACCACAGAATGTTAGGTATTGACCACAGAATGTTGTATGTATGACCACAGAATGTTGTATGTATGATAGAATAGTTCCTTCAACCTTGGACAGTCAAAATGAAATGTAAATCTTCTTATATCCATCAAAAAAAAAAGCTTTAATTATTACTCCTGTAGTGATGATAATACTAATTAGACACCAAGAGTAAGTCTAAGCCAAGAACCCTCCTGGAGGTGGGGGTATATAGCCTCCTGCGTGCCGAGACAGCGCAGGTAAACAATAATGGTGTACGGTAAGGCACTAAGGCCAGACCACTCATCAATAGGTTACGTTCCTGACCACTTGTTCATAAATCACAACAGTATTAATTTCCATAGGTTAGGTTAGATTAAAACACAATCCTGCCCATGAAAAACACAATAATAATATCCCATACATAACAAATAATGTAAATACCTGAAAATAAAGGTTAGATTAAAACACAATCCTGCCCATAAAAAAACAATAGTAATATCCCATACATAACAAATAATGTAAATACCTGAAAATACAGTGAAGTTAAACAATATATAACAATGTCTAAAAATAAAACAGATTACTATTAGAAATATATTGGGTTTATGTTCGAAATCATGGGAGTCTGTAAGTCAGGCGTACGCAACACGGAACTGTCCCCGAGTTTGTCAGCCGAGAGGTTCATACGCTCACACTTACTTTGATTCCTTTAGTCATCTCACCAGAGTCACGGCAGCCGCGGTCTACTTCACACGTCTTGACCACTTGTATATGGTGATCCTCCCTCTGCTGAAAAAAATCGTCTGTCATTAGTGAAACGGTTAAATCAAATCAATATCATCTTTCCTATCTCAAATAAGTGATATAAATTACTCACATTGAAAAAGTTATCTTAGTGATCCTGTATAAAAATGGCGTTTAATGCAGTATATACGATTTAGGTCGACACGTGCAATAAAAATAGTGAAACTTCGATTTAACTGACTATATAAAGATGAAAGTACGTTATATCGAGGTTCCGTTAGATGTGAAACCTCCATTAAACGAACTATATAAAGATGAAAGTACGTTATATCGAGGTTCCGTTAGATGGGAAACCTCCATTAAACGAACTATATAGGAATGAAAGTATGTTATATGGAGGTTCCGTTAGATGTGAAACCTCCATTAAACGAACTATATAGGGATGAAAGTACGTTATATCGGGGGTTCGTTATATGTGAAAACCCCCTCTGAACAGATTACATGAATAGAAAAGTTCGCTATATGGAGGTTACACCGTACTGAAATCGTAGAAACGCTTGGAGATAAATATTAGGAGCGGACGTCTCTACACCCGGTTCTCTACTTATGAACATTATGAGATACGAAGCAATCTGTTCATATTGTACACTATGTTCAATTGACTGTTCAAACTCTGATATACATGGCTACTTACAGACACATGGACTCATGCACAAATGGACTTATGAACAAAGGGACTCATGCACAAATGGACTCATGCACAAATGGACTTACTGCACAAACAAATGGACTTATGAACAAAGGGACTCATGCACAAATGGACTCATGCACAAATGGACTTACTGCACAAACAAATGGACTTATGAACAAAGGGACTCATGAACAAATGGACTTACTGCACAAACAAATGGACTTATGAACAAAGGGACTCATGCACAAATGGACTTACTGTACAAACAAATGGACTTATGAACAAAGGGACTCATGCACAAATGGACTTACTGTACAAACAAATGGACTTATGAACAATTTGACCTAACGTTAACTAACCATTATACCAAATGAACTAAACTGACCTAACCTGAATCTAACCTAATTTTAACCTAACTTAACCTGAAGACAACATAACACCCTAACCTAACCTTAACTGACTAGCCATAAGACATAAACTGACTAGCCATAAGACATTAACTGACTAGCCATAAGACGTTAACTGACTAGCCATAAGACATTAACTGACTAGCCATAAGACATTAACTGACTAGCCATAAGACATTAACTGACTAGCCATAAGACATTAACTGACTAGCCATAAGACATTAACTGACTAGCCATAAGACATTAACTGACTATCCATAAGACATTTCACCATCGAACAAAAAAAAAATTAATTACCTCACGAAATCGACGACAAATACACCAACAATCCATTTTCCGGATGCGGGTGACGTCTCCAAAACTGTCCTCCGCTATAATGTCGTCTCGGAGATCAAGTGTAGGTAGAGCGGACCTGAAAAAATTGTTTATTGAAATTTGGAGAAAGTTACGTTAGGGTTTGGTTAGGATAGGTTAGGATAGGTTAGGTTTTGGTTTGGTTAGGATAGGTTAAGTTAAGTTAGATTATGGTTAGGATAGGTTGGATAGCATTAGTAGGTTAGGTTAGGTATTTCAAAAATGCAAAACAAACATAACCTTATCTATCTAAATAAACCTTTGTAATTAAACCACACAAACTATGATGTTTTATTACAATTAAACATAAAACTAATTAATACTGTGGATATTTGTCCGGTTGTTAGTAAGGTTTTATAGACTAACAGCAGAAGGTTGATAGAATTGAACGAAACATTGTGGGAACGTTAATTACGATCAATTAAATATATAAATGGACATGACAATGCACAGAACTAATTAGAACCTGACCTGACCTAACCAAAAGTGACCTAACCTAACCAACCCTAACCTAACTTACCAGAATACTCTTTAAAACATACCTAATGACATTGAACACTCAAATTTTATAGTTATGGAGCCTAAAATAAGACCATATACTCTTAATAACTAAAAATTTTAATAGAAACTTAATAATAATAATGCCAGAAAATAATAATGTTTGTAAAGATCCCAAAGACCGTCACTTAAAACACCTTAAATAACCTAAATAAACAATAACACGTATAAATAACTTACTCAAATTAGTATTTAATATATGTAGATTAAGTTAAGTATCATAAAATAATAGTAATTGAGGTAATAATGGTATAATTAGCAAAAATTATAAGATAGATACTCACCTCCCGTCCCTGTGGCAGTGTAAACAAACAGTGTTACCAGATTAAGTATTTACCTTAAAGCCGCTAAACAAATTCTAAAAACTGCTAAATTTCCGCTAAATATTATGTAGCAGGAACCTTAATATTGTTCTTTTTTACCTTTTTGTAGCTATAATATTTGTTTTGTAACTATATTAATTGTTTTGTGTAATAATTATCTATGCAGTGTATTAGTATCATATGAAAATGTGTGGTATTAATTGTTTAGCTTCTGGGATTTTAAGCAACTGTTCTTGGTTTAAAATACGTGAATTAATATAACATAAGAAAATAGGATAACTGCAGTAAACCATGTAGGTGTCTTTATAAATTATAGCAATTTTCACACCGACTACTGAGTGAAATAGGAATGGAACCTAACCTAACCCAATCAAATCTTAAGAACATGAGAAAATAAGGAGTCTGCAATAGGCCGGTTGGTCTGTGCATGGCAGCTCCTGTCGAGAGTTACTACCACTCTCTATCATCCATGAATATATCTACTTACTACAAAGTTGCTAAGCTTGTTCCACTCGTCCACCACCCTATTTGTGAACCAGTTCCTTCCTAAACTCATCTTAATCTAATATAACCAAATATTAACTTATCATAACCAAATCTCAACTGATTATAATCTAACCTAACTAAATCTAACTTAATTTATTGAGACAACCTAACTTATCCTAATCTAACCTAACCAAGCCAAATCGAATTAGGGTGAAGGGAGGGTCCCTATCATATGTGGTGTCTAGCCTAGAGGGAGAGTTGTCAATGAATGGTTGTCAAGGGCAGCTGGTGTCAACGGCCACCTTGACAGATATTGCAAATCAATATCAGTCCCATTCATTGACAACTGGGACACAACTTTTACGGCAGAAGGGATCTTTATGCTAGGGATGGGGCACATCTCTCTAGGGATGGGGTGGCAACACTGGCTGGCTCTCTCGAGAGGGCGGTTCAAAAGATGTCGAAGTCTTTCAAGGGAACATAAGAGCGCGGTTCAGTAGGAGGGATAAAGTTGGTAAACAAGGTGAAAGGTCACAGAGATATAGTGCTAGGAATGATGACAAAGCTAAATTAGGCAGGGAATTAAAACCTAAACGCGACAAAGAAAGGACTTTGACCTTTATGGTAAATTCCTTTAACAGTTGGCGTAATGAACCTTTAAGATATTATTGTACAGAGGCGGGATGAATGAGAGATCCCCTGTGACTCAGGTCAGGTCACGGAGAGACGTGAAGGTGTCATCACCTGACCTAATATAACCAGGTGACATCACAGGACCACGTATTCGAGTCAGGTACGGTCAAAGGTCAGGTCAAGTATTAAGCAAGGTTAATAACTGTGTTTGATGACTTGTTCCACTTATTAATATATTAGTATAGATCCCTATATCATTATTGTCACTATACAGTATATCTACACCGCATTACTTTATCATTTGTTTCCATAAGTTATTTGGTCAGTTCAGTAATCATCTACCAGGTGTTGTGGTCAGCCTTACTTTTTACTTTTATCCTCTTCGCCACTGATCGGCTGTGTAAATATTTGTTCTTATATCATACAGCGTGTATATAATCTGTATATAATTATGAAAGAAAAACATAACCTAACTAAATGTAACTTAATTATTGTGACCATGTCTAATGTAATATAAACTTAACTTACCGTACCTAACCTAACCAATATACTATGATACCTAATAATATTGACCTCCATTTATTTGTTTTTCTTGCTAAAGTTCCTCTCTGTTAATTTCTTTAATATACTGTATCGTTGTCCTCATTTAACTACCTAATAAATATTATGTTTATAATAATATTAATTATTAATATTATCGTCAAACAAATTTCGATAATTTTATCTCTAGTCAATATTCAAACAATTCTAAAACACTTTTCTTCTGTGACGTTTCCCGCGCAAATGACCCGTATTATTATTATCATTAGTAGTAGTATTATTATCGCCAGTGATCAGTTGGTTAGCCACGTGGGTATTGTTAGCTATTTAATTAAAGTTGGTCTGTTTAATACTACGGTGACACCTTTAAACTCATTCAAAGTTGTTTCATTCCATATTTAATCTCATTCAAAAGTTATTTAAGTCCGCCATTTAAACTCATTCATTCGCCCCCCAGGCCCTGATGTGGGTCACTGACCTGTGCCCGGGTGGGCTAATCCCAATTAAAAAAATATATATTTATTTACGTCCGTTTTCTCTGATGCAATTGAAGAAAATTAATCTCTTATAAGGGAAAACTTCTTTACACTTTTATTATGCGTTTTTTCCTTTTGCGGGAAATATCCCACCCATGCACAGGTCACTGACCCACATGAGGGCCTGGGGGGCGAAAATATAATAATAATAATAAAATAAATAATAATAATAACCATAAATAAATACAAAAACGAAAAATAAATAAAGAATGAGAAACGATATACATTAAGTATGTTGTATTGTCAAAGTAAGAGAAACAATTGAGACCCTGCAGGTGTGTGTAAATGAGGCAGAAAGTCATATCATCAACCTGGGACTTGGTCACATATGGCAGCAGGGTCCACCATTAGACAACACATTATGCTTCCAATATCTTCCCAGGCGGTAATACCTCCCTGTTTGGTACCTGCTGTAAGACAATTATTTTACTTTACTGTACTTTATTTTAGCCTCTTCGTCACTCATCTGGAAACATAACTGAAGGAAAACGTAGAGATGTGAAGGAGGTGATTAGAACAAACCGACATGAAAGAACCAGGTCAATATTACCTCACATCACGTGACCCAAGACAAGGTTACCAACCATACTAAGTGACCCAACACGAGGACTCTGGATTTCTGACGTCACGCAAGGTCAGGTCATGGCCATATAAATACACCAACGTGGAGACGGTGACCTTTAGTTGTGTTGACGTTATTGTGGTGTTGAGACAGTGGTGGAACGAAGCCTAACCTAACCTAAGCAAGAAGATCATAAGAATGGAGGTAGCTGCAGCGGGCCTGGTGTGTGAAATGGTTATCTTACTTGTACTGCTGGTGATCGTGGTTCTCCTGGGTCTTGTGGTCCTGATTTACGGCTGCAGAAGGTTATACTACAAGGTGAGTTAAACCTTCTCTGTTTTTTTGTGAATAATAATAATAATAATAATAATAAGCGTAATAATAATGTGTCACTTTATAAAGACTCATACTAACGTGGTGTTCTATCTTCCAGTGTCAGTCATCGTCCTCACCATCACCATCATCACCGTTATCACCGTCATCGTCGTCATCGTCGTCATCACCATCATCACCGTTATCACCGTCATCACCCCCTCAGGACTCCCAGCCATACTTCCTCCCATCCAAGCTCACATCCTTCGTCAGGAGTGTGAGGAACTCCTTCAGGTCAGCTCCTCGGGTCTTCACCACCTCTTCCACTGACAACTTAATCATGTTGCCTGAACGTTGCTCCCAGGACGCCGTGCCTGATCAGGACCTCACAGTCAGGGATCCTTCCTTAGCCAACATCCTCAAGGAGGCTCTCAACGACTCCCTACAACGTCCTGGTGAGTCTAGTTACCTGGGGGACTGTACCCCTCGTTACCAGCGTCCTCGACACACCATGGCACACAACACCAACAGGTTGTCTCGCCCGTTCCTCCGTGTTATAGACGAGACCACTCTCTTTATATAGACCACAACATACAACGCCGGGCATTTAGCAGTGTCTGCCGTTATATCCCATCATGGAAACTTACGCCTGGCGGACGTTGTCTTGTCATCACCGCCCATGAACCCATTCTTCCGCGTGTTTAAATAAGATTATTATACCATAGAACGTCAGCAAGAGCAGTCAGCAGCCCAAGACACACCGAGAAGACGTTGGCTTAATAATGATAAAGGATAAAATGAAACATAATTTGTGACCCTCTGTTTATGATAATTTGACCCACTGTTTTTGATAATTTGTAACCCTCTGTTTATGATAACTTGTAACCCTCTGTTTATGATAATTTATATACGTGTTCTTACTAATAAAATGTTGACTTTACGCCACTGTTTTTAACTATCATCTTTAAATAGAGAAAATGAAAACCCATATGAGCGAGAGAATACTGAAGTGAGAGAGAGGGGTAACTAAGCTAAGGCACACCAACACGAGATACAGCTTCACCACAACACCACAGACCTACACACAATGCGTTTTACAATACACAGAAAAATAAACCGTAAAACAATAAACCTCTCATATATAATATAGTTTGAGCTATATTTATGATATATTAAGGTATAATTAATATAATTATGAGTATTTTGTAGGAATGGCACGACAAGATGGAGGGAAGTACATTAATAATACTATTTTAAATTTAATTTTATTTTATGTTATATTAAATATCTAAGTATTATTTTTTACTATAATATTTCCATTAATTTATTTATATTTATGGAATATTCCAATTTTCTATACAGAATATAATATTGGAATGGCTATTGTTTATTGGTTATAACTCACCAGGGAAATGTATGCTCTCTAAAACACCAACTCTATATAAATGATGATTTTTACAGCTATAACAAGATTAATTGAGATTTATTATATATTAAATTGATTTATAAAATTAATATTGTTTTTTATATCATGGAATAATTAATAGTTATGTTAAATAATTGTTAAATATGGTCATATCCCCTCCAGCGCCTCTTGTCCCTTGTCAAGCTCAGATCGGCCGCCTTAACTTATTACTAATTTTCAACGGTAAGAAACTAATTTATTAAGGTTTTTATAGCCAGGATCAAAGATATAGACGATAGTTACCTCATGGGGGTAGTTTTATGAGGCAACATGAGGGAGGAAGAGAGAATGATGTGGCTTGTGTACTATGTTAGTTCAGTTGTTATGGTGAGCGAGGATGCTGCTTGGTCGCGCCTCTAACACCCACCACACCAACTTTTTAAACCGTTATTATGGCGCTATTAAACCACCTATTGGCTCTCAATTACAACTAGGGGATGGAGATAAGATGGAAGTTTATATATCCAAGGTGATTTATACTCCAGGGATAGGGATTTAGGGTGAAAATAGGGAAAATATGCCGGGGGTGGTGGGGGAGGGAGGCGGAAGAAGGTGGTAAGCATCATGGCGGGGGGCGACTCGGGGCCACAAGGGCATAAGGACGACACCCGGCAAATAGTCCCCCATTTGAATGTTGTTTGTCTCTATAATGACTCAATTTATTCATTATTTAGATTATTTAACACCAGGGAATGGTTGTATCTGTCTGGGTGGTGATAGTAAGGGGGTGAACGGCCTATGGGGGACCTTAGGTTGGTGGACGGCCCATGGGGTTTATTAGGTTGGTGAACCTATGGGGGACCTAGGGTTGGTGAACGGCCTATGGGGACCTTAGGTTGGTGAACGGCCTATGGGGACCTTTTGGTTGGTGAACGGCCTATGGGGGACCTGAACTTTTGGTGAACGGCCTATGGGGACCTTAGGTTGGTGAACGGCCTATGGGGACCTTAGGTTGGTGAACGGCCTATGGGGGACCTTAGGCTGGTGAACGGCCTATGGGGACCTTAGGCTGGTGAACGGCCTATGGGGGACCTATGAACGGCCATGGGGGACCTGGTAGGCTGGTGAACGGCCTATGGGGACCTTAGGTTGGTGAACGGCCTATGGGGGACCTTAGATTGGTGAACGGCCTATGGGGGACCTTAGGTTGGTGAACGGCCTATGGGGACCTTAGATTGGTGAACGGCCTATGGGGACCTTAGATTGGTGAACGGCCCTATGGGGACCTTAGGTTGGTGAACGGCCTATGGGGGACCTTAGGGTTGATGAACGCCTATGGGGGACCTTAGGTTGATGAACGGCCTATGGGGGACCTTAGGTTGGTGAACTGCCTGGGGGACCTTAGGTTATGGGGACGAACGGACCTAGGTTGGTGAACGCCTATGGGGACCTGGCCTATGGGGACCTTTATGGGGACCTTAGGTTGGTGAAGGGCCTATGGGGACCTTAGGCTGGTGGGGGAACGGGGTGAACGGCCTATGGGGGGCTTGGGGTGAATACCTTAGGCTGGTGAACGGCCCATGGGGGACCTTAGGTTGGGTGAAGGGCCTATGGGGACCTTAGGCTGGTGAACGGCCTAGGGGACCTTAGGCTGGTGAACGGCCTATGGGGACCTTAGGCTGGTGAACGGCCTGGGGGACCTTAGGTTGGTGAAGGCTATGGGGACCTTGGGCTGGTGAACGGCCTATGGGGAGGGTTGGTGGCCTAGGACCTGGTGGCCTATGGGGACCTAGGACCGGCCTATGGGGACCTTAGGCTGAGCGCCTATGGGGACCAGGCTGGTGAACGGCCTATGGGGACCTTGGGTTGGTGAACGGCCTATGGGGACCTTAGGTTGATGAACGGCCTATGGGGGACCTTAGGTTGGTGAACGGCCTATGGGGACCTTAGGTTGGTGAAGCCTATGGGGACCTTATGAAGCCTATGGGGACCTTAGGTTGGTGAACGCCTATGGGGGACCTTAGGTTGATGAACGGCCTATGGGGGACCTTAGGTTGGTGAACGGCCTATGGGGGACCTTAGGCTGGTGAACGGCCTATGGGGGACCTTAGGTTGGTGAAGGGCCTATGGGGGACCTTAGGCTGGTGAACGGCCTATGGGGGGGGGGGTTATATAATAGGCTGGGACCACCTGAAGTATCACCACCCTAGCTTATATCACCTAACGATTAATCTTCCTAATACTAACCTAATACTCTCCTATCCTTACCTGATACTATCCTATCCTAACCTAATACTATCCTAACACTAACCCAAAGATTAACCATCCTAATACTAACCTATTCTATCCTAACACTAACCTCATACTATCCAAACCTACCCTAATACTAACTTACCCTATCCTAACCTTATTCAGTGCTATCCTAACCTATCCTAACCTATTCTAACCAAACAAGACACATTTAAAGTCCAGTAAATATGGACTGAAGATTAGACAACTTAATTTATTTCACCTGATGATTAAACACCCTAATGTTACCTGGTTTAGATTAGGTAAGGTTGGGTTAAGTTAAGTTGGGTTAGGTTAGATCAGGTTAGGGTAGCTGTTTTTGGTTTAAATAGGCTGGGAGGATAATTGTCATGTAAAATGTTTGATATTATAGTGAACCTCTATTTAATGGACTACATGGGGAGGAAAGTCCATTATATCGAGGGTCCGTTAAATGTGTAACCCCCATGTAATGAACCATATAGATGTGAAAGTCCGTTATATCGAGGGTCCATACCATGTGAAACCCCCATTTAACGGCTTATATGGAGAGAGAAGTGCGTTATATAGGGGTTTTACTGTAGAATGGAACTAGTGAGTATTTTTATAGTTGTTTATAAGTCCGGTAAATAAATATTGACAATGGTTTTTTTCTTATCTGTTCCAGCGGTAATTTTCTCTATGGGGAGACTGTGAGGCGAGGAGTACAATGGCCGAGCCAGCGTCAGAGGCGGCTGGCTTTGCCCAGGACCTGTTCTCACCTCTACAGTTCTGTGAGGTGGTGCAGGAGGGTCAGGCCGCCCACCACCACGTGAAGGAGGAGATACCCCGGCCGCAGCAGCAGCAGCAGGCGCCGCAGCTGACCACTGCAGCGGTGACGTCCATGGTTAACATAGCCGGGGTGACTACCTCCACGACCACCACCCAACACATACACCTCCAGGCACAGCCCATCATGGTGCAGCATCAACACGTACAGCACCAGCACGTACAGCACGCGCAGCAGAACCTCACACAACCCCGCCTACTGCAGCAGCAGATATCTGTACAGCAGCAGGCGACACAGCAGTCTATTCCTCAACAACTGATACAACAGCACCAACAACAGCAGCAGCAGGCACAGCAGCAAGCACAGCAGCAGGCACAGCAACAGGCTCAACAACAGGCTCAGCAGCAGGTTCAACAACAACAGGTACAACAACAACAACAACAGCAGGTACAACAACAGTCATCACAACAGCTAATACAAACTCAGTCACAACAACAACAACCAAAACAACAGCTTCAGCCCCGACAACAAGCTCCATCACAACAGCAGATGCCATCACAGCAACAAATACAACAACAAATTCAGCAGCAACAAACACAGCAAGCACAGCAACAAACACAACAGCAACAGCAAGCACAGCAACAAACACAACAGCAAGCGCAGCAACAAACACAGCAGCAAGCGCAGCAACAAACACAACAGGTACAACAGAGTCAACCTCAGCCACAGATACTGACGTCCGTAAATAACGTTCAGCTGGTCAACGGCTTACAGCTGCCCATCACGGTGCAGCACACAGTCGCGGGCAAGACTCCCACCACCGTAGCGGCGGGCACCACCACTCAGCCCCCTCCACTCATAGTGCTGACGGGAATCGTGACGAGCGACAACAACCCCGTGGCCATCACCGCCGGCGTGGCGACCACCGCCGCCGCAGCCGTCGCGACCGCCGCCAACGGAACCGTGAATAAGGAAGACGTGAGTACGGCGTAAAACACTTCCTCGCGTTATTCACAAACTGATACACTGTAGCTTCTGTACATTAGTCCACTTATTTCACACCAGAGTAACAATAAAAATAGATTATATATAGTTAAATAATGACCCACAAATTAATTACTCATATAGCGAACGTTTACCCTCGTACCCAGGTCAAACCCGTACCCGTAAAGAGGACCTGGAGGAGACCGTGGAAGAAGAAGAAGGAGAGAGAGAAGAAACAACCGGTAAAGAAGGCGAGGAGAGTAAAGAGAAAACGTATCGTCATGCCCAAGAAGAGTATCATCCACATAGATCCCAGGAATGGTCCCATGGTAAGAAGCTTCCGTTTTTGTCAACTTATCTTACGCGTCCGATCAAGTAGTACAGTACTGGTGTATATTTTTATCATTTACGGTAATTAAAAAAAATTAAATGTTGGAACTATTTTTTTAGAATGTATGTGTAGATACGACATTGATTATGAGTATTTATGACATTGTATTAGGGTGGTGAATTATCAGGTGAGGTGAACTGGGGTAGGGGAGGTAATTTTCAGGTGGGATAATGAGTGAAAGACTATATTATCTCACTGTTACTGATTCTCTCTCTCTCTCTCTCTCTACAGATCGACACCGCAATGAACCAGATCAAGAGAGAGTCGGAGGAGGCCATCAATCAACTCAAACAAAAACGTCAACGAATCAAACTGAATCGTAACTCCGGCCGGGAATACGTCAATCGTCTTGGGAAGGTCAGTCAGAGCATCATCGCCCGTCTTAGTCCGAAAATTATTTAACATTATCGTAAAATTCATGGAAATATTTTGGCGTCGTCTTTCATATTTTGGTAAAATTTTTATACAGGAATTATGGCATTGGCTTCGTTGAAACTATCCGACATTACTTTAAAGTTAGTTAGTCGACAGTAATTCAGTATTAAATGTCAGATTGTGGATATTGACTAGTATTAAATGCCAGGTGGATATTGACTCAGTATTAAATGCCAGAAATCAGTATTAAATCCCAGATGGTGGATATTGACTCAGTATTAAATGCCAGATTATGGATATTAACTCAGCATTAAATATCAGATTATGGACATTACACTAACCCCTCATAACACGGCAGGTAGTAGGAGCAAGGATCATCGGCCCACCTTGCAACTGCCCCCTCAAGTGCTGGGAGAGAATGGGCTCCAAAATACTCGAGATCTTCAACAACTTCTGGGACCTGAGCGACTTTAACCTACAGAACTCGTACCTCTTCACCTGCCTCAAGCTCTGTGATGTGAAGCGCCGTTACACCAAGAAGGTAAATGTAAGGAAGATCTCATTATTCCATTTTTTGTTTATCATCTCTAAGGTCAATGTTAGTTTGTGTAGTTGTGATGTGTTGTTTTGAGGGGGGGGGGTAATTAGCATGTGTGTGTGTGTGGCTATTTCTCTGTTGCTTACATTGGTCGTGGGTGGATTGAATTGTTACCCTGGTCATTCTCTTCTCTCGTTAGATACTGAGGCACTTAAGAGCTTGCACGGACACTATTCTCCGACTATTCAATCCATCAGTAATGTAGTTTAGTCAATTTCATTTCTGCTTTTTAAAGACTTTTGTTAAGTATACAGTCTCTCCTTGACTTATGATGGGGTTCCGTCATAGAAATTCTAAAATGGGCGTTTCTTTTTCTTCTCAGCACCACGAGAACTCCCACTTTTACTCTTGCCAGCCATTTTAAAGGGAATTACAAATTAAAATTTTGACAGTACACAGCGCGATCACTAACGTCGGGACTCGAAAATACGTAATGTGAAAAATATTTTATTCTACCATGGTCGTCATATGTCCGGGTTGTCGTAAGTCGAGGAGAGACTGTATATACCATAATGATCGACAAGAGACAAGCTTAATATATCTGTAATACTTCCTCTGTGTGGAAACTTTGTGTATTTCACTCTTATGAAACGTCTACACCATTGTCCATAGTTGATTGGTGGTCGAGATATCGGCAGCCATCTGACACCCTACAGTCAATCGATCAATTTCCGTTGTTATGTGATGATTGCCAAGGATGCCAAACGGATGGTATTATTTTACTCTATAAGTCTAAATAACGCTACAAAATGGTATCTGATTTTAGTCTAAATAGCTGTAGTAACTGATTTAGAATTTTTTGTAACACCTATTTTACCCAAGTTGATACATTAGTCACTTTAGGACACAGTTTCAGGACATTAGGACAGCTTCATACACTTTAGGACACAGTTTCAGGACATTAGGACAGCTTCATACACTTTAGGACACAGTTTCAGTACATCTAAGGCCAATCTGTCCTAGAAGAAGTTAGTCTTTGATATCGTCTTTTTCCTTCCAGCCGGCTGAGGAATCTCGGCGCCAGAACACCTTCGAATACTTTGTTCGCATCAGTGGGAAACATCTGCGGGTGTGCAAGAGAGCATTTATGAGCTCCCACGGACTTACGAGCGACAAGAGACTCCGCACGCTCTTCCATCAGATGAAGGTTAGTGTGTGTTTTTTTACGTTTGTTTTTAAACACATATTTTTCTTGGTTCGGTCTGGGTATTCTTTTTTTGTGTTTTTAATTCTGACCGGTAATTATCTATCTCCATATGGTTGTCTCATATCTCAGGGACCCTCGATGTAATGGATGCTCATATATATATATATATATATATATATATATATATAGTTCGTTAGATGGAAGTTTCACCTCTAATGGACCTTCGATATAATGGACTTTCTTTGCCATGTAGTTCGTTAAAAATAGGTTTCACTGCATGTGTTTCTTGGGTGTGTGTGTGTGTGTGGAGGAAGGATTGGGTTTCTTATATTGTTTCTCACGGCCACAGGACGGTGCTCTGGTGCCCGAGCCAGACAGACGCGGTAAACACCTGCGGCCAGTCAAGTCCCCCAACCAGATGAGTCCCAACCACACCGTAGAGTCTTACACCACCAACAAGATCAAGAAACCTCGCACCACCAAGAAGAAACAGAACAACAAGCTAGAGAACAAGCCCATGTACACCCCACCGCCGCCTCCCATGGGCCACATACACCCACACTGTACGCCGCCCCCTCCGCCCGCCCACGCCACCAACATGCAGGAGCCCCCCCACGCGTACATCCCCAACGGAGACATATACTTCCCGGGCCACTACCTCGAACCACACCAGTCTATGGCCCCACCACACATGAACCAGATACCCTCCTGCCAGAAGATGCTGGAGGCCCCGGCGTACTTCATGGCCGGGATGAAGGAGAACACCTTCCACCAGTGACTATGCTAACCTACGACACATCGAGTCTCTCGGTCCCGGTGATCGGACCAGAATGCTTGAAAAGAAATTGACTTGAACAATAAGTGAAAATAATCATGGTGACTGGCTACCCACTTAGAGATTTGTTCTGTGATAAAAAAAAGCATTTTGCCATTAATTTCAGAAGAGCTTCCATTGGCGGACGAGAAAGATTAACTCCCGGCGACAAACGGACGAGTCGAGTAGGAAATTGGTCGTTTGGCGGGAAATGTTGGGATAACGTATAGAGTGAGTCTGTCCTTGAGGTGTACAGTACAGTAGATGCAACAAATAACCAGCCTTACTCTGGCAGCTATAGTATGTCTCACATTCATCCTTAGTTCCAATATTTTCCTCTCTTATTACAACCTATCAGGGCATTAGTCTCTGCTTGAGCCCCTTTAACTTACTTTAAGGAGTAAAATATAGCTATAATTTATTTACTATGGGTGCCATGTCTTAAGATGATAAGAATTACCTTGTAATCCTCCGGGTCAGCTGGTAAGTGTTGACCTCAGGTGCTGAATCTCGTCTTAAAGTGAAGCTCGGACTTGAGATTAAAACTGGATAATTGTGTTTTCCACTGAACATTCCATAGATATTTAAGTATATTTTTATTGATACTTGTATAGGGTGTGTCGTAGGTTACCCACCATACTGTACAGGGTGTGTCAGAGGTCACACACCATACTGTACAGGGTGTGTCAGAGGTCACACACCATATTGTACAGCGTGTCGTAGGTTACACCATACTGTATAGGGTGTGTCGTAGGTCACACACCATATTGTACAGGGTGTGTCATAGGTTACACACCATAAAGTACAGGGTGTGTCATAGGTCACATCATACATTAAAATCTCCTATGCTGTGTAACCTATGAGACATCCTGTACAATATGGTGCACTACCTATGACTCACCCTGTAAATGGAGAGCATAGCAGGTCTTCTATTGGTCATTTCATCGCCTTAATTTAAAAGTGAATTATTAACAGTATTTTTAATTTAATTTGTGTCATTGAGAGACGTCAAACAACAAATGAGAAGTTTTATTTATATTGTCGTTAAGTTGCAGGCTCGGGCAGCTGTAAGATCAACAAGAGAAGCACGCGAGGTTCTGGTGACCTTATGGGGTCGGAGTCCCTAAATTAATGGGGGATTATCGTATAGTTTAAATTGAAATATTATGACGGATTATAAATTATTTAATCCTTAATCGGCAGCCGAGGATTCCTTACCCACCTCTCCCCTGTGCAAAAATAAAACGCAAGGAACATGAAAATTCTTCTGATGATGGCCACCGCCCCTTCAGTTAACTTCCACCGACGATAGCCTCTGTTATGTTGGTTAAAGATTTTCACCAGAACCACTTGTCTTTTTCTGTTTGGTCTCATCTTGGAAGTCTTGCTCAGAGAATTACTCCAGATCTTTGGTATGGTATTATGGTCCTGTGTGGTATAGTACTGTACGGTCCATCAGTGGTCGATATACCCGCGGCGGTTCTACTAGCGTGCCGGTCAGTCTTGGATTCCCATCTGGCTAAAAGACTGCTATTACCCTCCACTGTTATACTCAAAGCCCCACATACAGTATTTAAAAGTGATAATATTCTACCAGATAAAAAGTTTGTCTTTGGCCAGATGCGAGGTCTTGGGTCTGAAGAGAACCAGCGAAGGTTAACTTGGCTTTCTTTCTGTAGACTGGTAGTGAAGTGGTACAGTACAGCAGTCTCTTGATACAATTAATTATGCTGGACTTGGTAGAACTGCTGCTAAAGGTCTTGAACCTTCAGAATTTGAGTGGGGATTTTACAGAACCTGACACAAATTGTAAAGCAGCGAGCGGAACTTGTTCAAAAATCCTGAACCCACCAGCTGCTAATTCGTGGCCTTTGGTTTATCATTAATGGTTAAATTTATCACCAGGATATGAAGACTGGAGTAGATCTGATGGTGTTGAGAGCCTGTAGTGAGTCATAACACCATGGAGAGAGAGAGAGAGAGAGACTGTAGTAGACTTTCCATCATCTTCAGACTTTGTCCATTATGTCAAGACTGGAGTTGAGAAGTCCCTCTCCCGCAGATCTCGGCGTAGGAATCAGTGTGATGTTGTGTTGGATTCTTCATAACATTTTAATTTGTATTTTTTTCTCTCGGTTCATCTCACGCTTTGGAAACCTGACAGTGAGATATCTTTGGCATTATTGCGTTGGTGTGTATGTCTGTCCGTGGCGTCGACGTTCATTGGAGTATTAGCGACGCCACTCTTAGCATTGGCCGTAACCTGTCTTTTTTTTTAATCCATTTAGTCACTCGAGGTTTTGAGTCTGTATCGATGCGGTTCGGTCGTCCGTAACGTTTCGAATAAGTCGATGTTTACGAGTTTCTTTCGGACGTCGTTCGCGGTGATTTTCTTTACGACGACGTATTGCAGAGTAACCACACCGTTTTGTCCTGTGATAGCTCTTATGGAGGTTGTAGTAGTACTGTAAGCTAACCCGAGATATTTATACAAGTACTCCCATTAACACGGCAGCACTTGAGGAGAAAGTGTCGGTATCTTTAAGAATCTCCGGATGATTTAAGAAACAATTTATCCAAATGGCTGGGATAGTCAACTTTACTCTTTGTGCCACATTAGTTTAAGATTAGACCAACTGAGGAGGAGAGGTTTACCAAATGGTCTTTAGTACAAATTTACTCACATTCAGTACTAGTTAATTCATTTCCTTGGGGAGAATAATGAAGAGGTTAGGTGTTTGTAAGGACGAATGATCATTTACCTCGACTTTTTCCCGTATTAAATGAGGAAATAAACTACACCTCACTCCCCCCCCCCCAGATATTATGAAGCATAATCACCGATGATATTGTGTGAGTGATGCCTGAATGTTTGTTAAAAAAAATAAAAGGCAACTTGAACGTCTTATGGAAAAGGGTTGTGACGAGGCTTTATTTACGAAGGGTGTCTCTTTATTTACGGGTGTTCTTATGGATGTTTGGAATACCTGAACCTTACGAGAAATACTTTAATTGGTTTTATTTCTTCTGATTGTCCCATTGTTACTGTAACCATGTTTGAAGGGCGAGGCTGTGTTTCAAGGGCGAGGCTGTGTTTCAAAGGGCGAGGCTGTGTTAGTTTAATGACTTTGATGAGGTGTTGGTTTGTGTGTGTGTTGGAGATATGTGTGTGTGTTTTTTAGGAAGGAATGTATGTATGTGTGTATGTGTACAGTAAACATAATCATTCAACGACTAGGGATACATCCACCGATTTCAGTATTTCACGTTAGGTCCAAATATCGAGACGCCTCATTTATCATATTTATTTATGTATGTATATGATTCACCCAACAGTAAAATGATAAATGGTGAAAAAATCAAATATGTAAAGGAGACAGTTCTTAGGGTGGGGGATGATAAATGGACTCTATACTGATTGTGGAACTTATTTATAGTTAGTTAATGGATGTTGATGGATTATGAAAGATCTTCAAAGGTTCAGAACATCTTCAAATATTAGTACGAGTTCTGTGTTAAGTATTATGCCACTTTTGAACCCCCTCCCCCCCCTCCCTCCTCCAAACAGATTTACTCAGCAGTGTATGTCTGTATATGTAACAGAATAAATTATATATTTTTTTTATATGTGAATTATAAAAGGAAATAATTTTATAGGTTAACAGGATACAAAATTAATTGTATTTATTTGTTTGGTGAGGAATAAACAAAACAATGATGTTATTTAATTACAAAAATGTGCAATTTGGTTTGAGATTCGAGTTAAGAAGTTTGTGAGGGTTTTAGTTAAGTATCGGAAATTGGTCCAATCATCCGGTCGCTGCTACTTAACTATACAAGTAACAGTCAGTCGCTGCTACTTAACTATACAGGTAACAGTAATAATAAATATACTATAAGATCTTTGATATTATTTTACCATTGGGTCGGTTCTTTGTTATGAGGAGCCGGAAAAGTAACGACGAGCTCTAAACATTGTATTTGAAAGAGAAATTGATTGTTATTTTTGTTTAGACGAGGTGTTACGACATTTACCGTTACTTTAGCATGTTTTGATGTAGATAAATTTCTCAACATCTTCACTACGGGGATGCCACTTTTGAAATTTTGTTTGGTTAATGCCAGACAATTTTATTCACTAGAGACCCCACACGATTTTATTCATCAGAGACCCCACACGATTTTATTCATCAGAGACCCCACACGATTTTATTCATCAGAGACCCTAGACAATTTTATTCATCAGAGACCCCACACGATTTTATTCATCAGAGACCCCACACGATTTTATTCATCAGAGACCCCACATGATTTTATTCATCAGAGACCCCACACGATTTTATTCATCAGAGACCCTAGACAATTTTATTCATCAGAGACCCCACACGATTTTATTCATCAGAGACCCCACACGATTTTATTCATCAGAGACCCCACATGATTTTATTCATCAGAGACCCCAGACAATTTTATTCATCAGAGCCCAACCCCATACACAAGGGGTTAAGTGCTTGTTCCCACAACTCGAACAAAAGGAAACACAAAGTTTAATCTCACTCGAATATATTTTTTAATACGTAAAAAATCGTCTTTCTAGTACTGTACTCCTAGACATATTTTCTTAAGCATGAGGAAAGTGTCATTGAAGGTGAGGACAAGGTATAACACACTCTAATGGATGTTGGAGTGTGTTGTCTATGGTGAGGACAAATTATAACACACAAATGGATGTTGGAGTGTGTGTTGTGACTCTTTCTCTACGAGGAAGAAGCCCGACCCCTGTTGAAATAAGAATCTAATTTGGGCGCCATTGGTTGTTTCATCACAATGGGAGCGCCTCAGAACCCCTTAATCTCCTTATCATTATTTTCTCAGGTACTGTAATGGTGGAATCTGTGTGTATAATATATATTTTTCATAAACACTGACTTTGTGCTGATACATAAACTATACTGTGTATCTGTCAGTACTAATCGTGTGGTATGAAAGCTTGTGTGATGGGTAATACTGTATGATATATAAAGAGTCCACATGTAATCAGTATTTTGTAGTTTTTATCACCAATTAAACAGAAAAAATAGAAAACTTGGAGACATTGGCTAAAGTATCAAAGGTCAAGTACGGTACTATGCGTTTTTGGTGATATCTCAAGATGACAGCGAACCGTAAAAGACATATTTATTTATTTTTAAAACCTGATCCATTAAAATCCAGTATATTTTATTTTTCAAAAATTTATAAAGGAAGAATAATTTAATTAGCAAGAACAACCTGTGTGTGTTAAAGAAATCCCTGCCCCCATACCATCCATCCCCACCCCACTCCACCCCTCCCTGCCCTACCACACCCCGCTCCACCCCTCCCTGCCCTACCTCACCCCACTCCACCCCTCCCTGCCCTACCACACCCCACTCATGTTGATATGGTGTAGAACCTTTTTTAATGGTTTTAGTAACATAGATCAACATTATAATAGAATAAACATCAAGATTTTGTTTAATATTATTCCTCCCCTCTCTTATATGAGGTTTTACCCGAACACTTAATAGTAAACTGAACCATTATTGGGACGGCAGACTCTCCCCCACTGTTGCCGATACTAGTAGTGTGTGTTAGTGACTGTGTTTATGTGTGTGTGTGTTTGTGAGAGAGTGAATGTTTAAGTAAGTGTGTGTGTGTAAGTGTTTATAAGTGTTATGTGTATATACGTACATGTGTGTTTTACCACCTACAGTGTCCCTTATTAAAGCGAAAAAATGACACGTTTGGAGGAGGGGGAAAATCACGAAACACACAACAAAACACCAAGTCGGTAACAGCATAAAGATTAATGTACTCAGTGTGGGTAACGTGATTCTATACCTACCGTTATGGAGGCTAATGTTTTTATATCCTTCTCTTGTTCTTCTTCTTCTCTCTTCATCTTCTTATTCTTCTTTATCATCTTCATCTTTGTCTGTTATTCACTGTTCTATTTTACTTACAACTGTGAAAATTCCATTGATGCTATGGATAACACACACCCAGCAAGTCTACGAACTGACCCATGGACGACACACTGTACCCAGGTTAATCTACGAACTGACCCATGGACGACACACTGTACCAAGGTTAATCTACGAACTGAGGCATGGATAAAACATTGTACCCAGGTTAATCTACTAACTGACCCATGGATGACACACAACCAGGTTAATCTACGAACTGACCCATGGACGACACACTGTACCAAGGTTAATCTACTAACTGACCCATGGATGACACACAACCAGGTTAATCTACGAACTGGCCCACGGACGACACACTGTACCAAGGTTAATCTACTGACCCATGGATGAGATACCCCTCAACTCTACGTACTACCAACCCGTGTTAAGTTCCCCCTACACTGCACCACATACCTCTGACACGACGACAGTGTACCACCAATGTTTAAGCGGGGCAGACATTTGGGATAATTTCGTTCCCTTGTCAACACTGCCGAAGTAGGAATTTCCCTTCGATTACCTCTCTCTCTCTTACAAGCTAGGGTATAATAAGGAAGAAAGAAAATTATACATTCAATAATAACATTTAATATTATTTTATTTAATTACAGGCATCAATACATACACATTAACATCATTTACAAACATAAAAAACAGTCAGTTCTTACTACACAAAAAGTCTGATTCAAGACTTTGTTTGGGGGGGAGGGGAGGATTAAGTCTTTACATTAGATATTTTGTACATTGTGAATTATTTTTTGTCTTAAATGATGAAGAGTTAAGTACAAAGAGTGTTTGTAAAGAAGAAAAAAACTTGGGTGTTGTCAGTATCAAAGGTAAAGATGACAATGAATGAGTGTTGTATTACTGTGGCTTATGCTCTCAAGCTATACTCATTAGGTAGTCATTCATGTTTTGTGGCCCAGAACCGATTCATTTATCGGTTAGAGAAAAGATGTACGATTGGAATGGCGATTTATAATGACTGGAGGTAAATCACGTCGTCTTAAATGATGCATAACGAGAGTGAGGTATTCGCTGGCCGTTACATGACCTCGTTGTGTTAAGTATGCGTCGTTCTGTTATTTTCCAAAGACTATCACCGCCAGTTGACGGATTCTCAACCATCGTACGTTAAATTTTCCTTCTGAATATATATGTGAGAATGTCCAGAGCCCAACTGACTCACCTCTTCTATGGCACAACTGAGGTGAAACTAACTTAAACTAGATTTATTTTCCCATTCTAGTGGAAAATTATTCGCGGAAACTTGAGAATCCCGAACCCGGCGAATCACGGAGTCGTCAACAACGCGTATATACACACACACGAGAGGAAATGTAACTTGGCATCTCAACCAAGTGCTGTGTTGGCTGCTGCTGGTCAGGGCTATGCCGGAAAAAAATTAATGTTTCTGATAAAAGTCTGTTGAGAATGTGAAATAAATTAATGGATTTTTTTTTAAATTAATTCCCTTCTTATATACAGTACAATGTTTTCTCATATCCAGGATACTTGACAAAATATTATATAAAACAATTCCTTTCATAGAGTTTTAACATTGTTCCTTATCTGTCCATTCTGCTCATATGAGATCGGTCATTGAGATGAGTTTCTGTCTGGCAATGAGGAAAATAAGTGGCAACCCCGCCTGAGTAACTAGTTCGGGCTTTAAATGTGTGGGTGTACGGTGCCAAGCTACACGGGTGTGGGTGTGGCCAAGTGTATCGGCACCAAAAACACCCGTCGGCTTATTTCAAGGAGCAAAATATTTCCACAAGAGCGACGGCTAAATCTGCTCTGTAAATTGTAATTGTCAGAATATGTGGGGGACTCCTGG